TGCACAAAGTTACCATTGTGCCTCAAGTCTTAGGATTAGTCATGTACTATTGTAACATGAAAATTCTTATTCGACTGAATAAATTCTTCATTAAGAATTTTCATACGGTCATGTTCAGTGAACTTGTTCTCTAACAAGCACCCACATAAATGTACTTACGTCTTACGCTAATGTTGATGGAATGCAACATTCTTGTCCAACAAGCATACAAACTATGTGCAAGTCTTTTATGGATTATTCGATATCCCATCTCGAAACATCCATCGACTTGGAACTGTATTTAAGATCACGGCTTTCAAGGTATGTTCCATGATCACCATCTCTATGCGCAACCATACCTTATAACCATAAGTGATCTAGGGATTTTATCTTAAGTGCAATTATAAGATAAATGCTTTCTCTTAAGATAAAGAAATGCCTTATTCATAATATAATTCCAATAGACTGTATTTACAAGTAGAATACGTCCAATTAGATTGGAACGCCGGGTACCCTACTCTAACACTATTGTCTTTATGGGATCCCACTAACAAGTATACTTATTATTGCACAATAATCGAGATCTCCCATTTATGGTCTTTGTGGGATCCCACTCAGGAGACACGCTTGACACTGGTGGAAAAGTGCCTGGAAACTTGCCGAAAAAGTTTTCGACCGGTCGGCCCACTCAGTGCTTGGTACACACAGCCCAGCCTCGCGCAGCCCGTGCGCACAACTGTGGCCTAGCTCTTGTCACCGCCCGCACATGCCTGCACTCGCCCACATGTCGATGAGGAAAACTGCACATGCCGCCCGTGCATTGGCGCAAGACCCCGTGCGACGTCGCTGAGGCTCGCTCGTCCACTCGCGAGTGTCACTCAGGCCTCGCTGAGAAAGTCCCGCACACTCGCATGACACCCGCTACCCAGTGACCCAACGCACGCGTTGCCCGCCTTTCGCCTGCCAGTCCCACGCCACAACTTGAGATTCGAGCATGTTTCCTAGTACACCACGAGATTTTAGATGCAATACCCACCTACAAAATGCGCGAGTTCACCCATTTAATACTCACTAACGAGAAATAGCCCGTGACCGCGTGACTGCCTGAGTGTCGCAAGGCACACTCGTAGCGAACGCAGGCTCGTGACTGCGCAAGCACCACAGCATCGTCGGGCACACTCGCCAATGAACGTAGGTTTTTGACCATGTGACTGCAACCTCAATAACACCTGCCACACTCGCAGCGACCCAGAAGGTGAGTGTGGTATTTCCTAGCGAGTTTAACTTAGTAAATGTGTTTATTTTTAGTGTGTTATTGTGGTGTGGAATAAATAGAATTGAGCCTTTGTATTTTGGAACAAAATTTTTATTTTCCATCTTTTTAGTTGCGGAATTATCTTTTTCTTTTTTTTTCCTCTCTCTCTTGTTTTTGTTTGGAGCTTCAAGACTTGAATTTTTTGTCCAATTTTTCGGCGATCCTGTTGTTATTTAAGTTTTGAGATTTTTACGTTTATTTTGTCCAGACATGCAAGATGGAAAGTAAGTACCTAGTTTACGACTTATTATTGCGAAGTTGCTCTATTTTTGCTTACTACATGTTTGAGATAAAAAAGGCGCCTTGGTTGGATTTCATGTGGATTGACTCGGTTTTCGTTGAAGTTCTTATCTTTTCTTTTCTTTTTTTTATCTTTTGTGATTACTTGGTTGAAAGTCGAATCTTTCAAGGTAAAAATCGAGACTTTGTTGAAAGGTCGGTTATCTCGTAAGTCGTAATTCAATATTTAACTCTAGCCTCTAGTTGCGTTAGATTTAGCTCGTTTATCTTTTTTTTCGTCTTTTCTCAAGTTTTGAAGACTCCCTCTTAGGTAAAGTTTAAATCTTTAATTGAAGTTTGCATCTTGATCACTCTTAAATTCTTAGTTAAAATTAGTTTAAAATCAGCGTCAATCTTGTTAGCATGTTTAGGAACTTTGTTTTCCGTTTTCATTTTTTGACGACTAATTTGTAAATGAAGCTCCGAATAGTCTTACTTAAGAAATGACCTGATGTTCTAAATTATTCAGTTATCAATCAATTCTAAATTCTATACTCATTAGCTACCTTAAGTGGTAAGTAACTACTCACTAATGCTTGTTGTAGCAAGCGTAAAATGGTTATTTGTTATGCTTGATGTTTTCATGTATTAACAAAACACCCACTCCATCTGATAACCTCCAAAATTGTAAGTGGAGTCACATGTCTAGGGTCAATTAATCAGGTCTAAGTCACATGGGTTGGATCCAAATCTAACATAGTTAGGGTTTTAATTTGGACCAACTTTGCAAGCACGAAAATTATTGGAGCTGGCCTAGGCCCAAGCCCAATATTAGCTCCGATTGTATAAGGCTTCTTAAGTGTAGCCCATAATCCAATTGCCAAGTTCTAAAGACCAAAATTCATTCTTGAGGAATGTTCACGTGTGGCTGAAGTTAACACCTACATTTGATGCATACTTTAATTATTTTTGTAACCAATGTGACTCTCTTTATTATAATAGGTAGAGTTGTTCCATTTTATGAGTCCAATGTTGTATAGATCTATTATCATTTCAAATCACACTACTGAAATTTTAATGCACATTAAATAATTAATATTAATTATTATTATTCAGTCACCAAAATTCTTTACAGATTACTCATCTTTACAATTGCTCCTACATATAACTTTAAATTTGAATTTTGGAAAGTTTTAACGCTGACTTGAGTAACATATGCCATTACTAGCGTAACATCATCACTATATTTATATCATGCATGATCCCTTTATATAACCAATGAAACTCCATAACAGAGCAAGCAGGTTAACTCTATAACGATCGACTAAAATTTGAAACACACCGAGCCCACAGTACTTAAAAACATACAAAGAACCAATTTGATTGCACAAGACAAGCCAAATTTTGTCCCTACACATTACCACGCTAGTTTCTCCTTCAAATCGCTAATAAACCGATCAAAATTCTCCTCGGACGAACCACCGTTACTCAACGCATTACGAAACTTCTCCTTCACCTTCTTCGCCTCTTCCCTCAACACCTTCCCCATTTCCCCACTCATAAAGCTCTTAATCCTTTCATCAATTGCATTCCTATCAACTAACATCCCTTGATCACACAAATCGACCCCAATCTTCCAATCATCGACCACTAATTTCCGATTAGTGGGTTGATCGTACGCTACTGGGTAGCATATCATGGGGACCCCACACCACATACTCTCAACAATCGAATTCCACCCACAGTGCGTCAGAAATCCTCCGACAGACAGACTCGAAAGAACACTAATTTGATCACACCATGGAACTATCAACCCTTTGCCTTCTTCGATCTCACTTTCGAATCCAACGGGCAATACACTTGTGGCCTCATCACTCGAACCAATAACACCTTCACGAACGACCCATAAAAAGTTCACCCCACTCAAGAGAAGCCCGTGGGCTAATTCCTCGATCACATGCTTACTTATTTGAACAAGGCTCCCGAACGAGATGTACAATACCGAGCCAGCTGGCTTGGAGGCGAGCCAGCTGGCGCAGTCTGATTTGGGCCAGAAGCTGGAGTGGATGGTGCTTTCAAAAAAAATTGCTGGGCCGATTGCGTAGTTTGGTTGGTATAAATTGTTTAGTGATGATAATGTTTCGGGTTCGAGTTCTTGAACCGTGTTGTGAAGGATAAAGTCGGCCTTCTTGGCGTCCTTGAATGCCGTGTAAATCGATTCGAAAAGTATGTGGTCCTCGTCTAAATACGGCATGAGGTCCGTTGTGTTTATTGGTTTTACGCCCGGAATATAATCTATCTCCACATCTTTGGTATCTGATCATATAGCCAAAAAAATATTATAAATTCCATAGTACTATTCAGCTTATAATTAAGTAAACATACTTTGAATCTTTGAAAATTAGTATAATCGACACTCATTGTAATTTGATTCAGCCAACATGTTAACGCTTAATAACACACAGTCAAATGTTGGTGTAAGCAATATTTGAACAGTAAGACTGCAGTAGATTACCATACTTTTTCGACCAGTATGCATATATTCGAACTGAAATATCATACTTAGAAAAACAACATCCACAAAAATATGATAATTCATAGCATAAATATAATTTTTGTGAATAAAGTACGGCATAAGGTCCCTTGTGTTTATTGATTTTATACCCGGAATATAATCTCTCTCCACATCTTTGTTATCTATCTTATAACCAAGAAAATAATATAAATTCAATAGTTTTATTCAGCTTGTAATTAAGTAAACATACTTTGAAGCTTTGAAAATTAGTATAATATATAGACACTCATAGTAATTTGATTCAGCCAACATGTTAACGCTTAAAAACACACACACACACAAAAGTTGGTGTAAGCAATATTTAAACAAGAAGACTGCATTATTCAGCCATACCACTACAAAAAAATTCTTATATTACAACGGAAAATCTTATAATAATATGTTCCAATAGAAATTACAATGGATATTCCAATGGTATAACTTCCGTTGGAATAATTCCAACTAAAATATTCCGTTATAATGTGTTTTTCATTGGAATTTTAGATGGAATTTGATGATTCCAAATTCCAACGGCTTTTTATATTATGAATTTCTGTTGGAATTTTTATGTTCAACCCCGTTGGAATCGTCAAAATCCAACGCAAATTCCAATGGAAAATCATTCCAACGAAATATTTTGTTGGAATTTCCATTGGAATTGTCGCTGGAATAATTCTACTTGAATATATTTCCGTTGGAATTTCATCATTTTCTTGTAGTGTACTTTTTCAACCAATATGCATACATTCAAACTGAAATGTCATAATTTAAAAAACATCAATAAAAATATGACATTTCATAGCATAAATATAAATTTTGTTAATAAAGTATGATGAGTCGACACGCTTAATAGTTATGTTGCATCACACAAGAATTTGTGATATTTAAAATACCTTTGCTATGGAGATGACCATTTTCTCTTAAAAGATCCAAATGGTAAGTCAAGCTAAAAACCGAAGCCGCCATGGTCGAGAAAAGAACGTTCACGAGCTTATATTTCTCGGCAACGGTCACGAGCCAAGCAGAAAGTGGCTCGGAAACCAAGAAATAGGCCGAGTTCGTGTCGTTCTTAATAACATTCCCAATACATTCATCAACACGGGCCGGAAAATCACGAACCAAGAAGTCCCAGTATATGTTGAAGTCTTGATCCCGGTCGAAATCGAGAGGAAACCCATCGCTTATAGTCACACAACGTATGTCGAGGCCCGATTCTCGGGCCCCCGAGAACAAATCGACGTGGGCTGTGCTGTCGTTGTGAGCCTTTGATAGCCTGTGGTGAATAAATTCAAGTTGTACAAAAGTGACTGTGAAGCCCTTTGAGGCAATCTTTAGAGCAAAATTGACAAATGGATTAATAATGCCTTGGTATGGTAGAGGGATCACAATGGCATGACTGGGCTTGCTCTGTTTTTCAGCCATTTTGAGAAATTGAAATTGAATGTTGCTTTGTATGAACATACGTTATGTTCAATGTTCATATATATATGTATATATTTAATTATTGATTTGCCAGGTAGCTAATAATGGAGCTTGATGATTGGACATTACATGTTACGTTGCGTGCACGACTTAGAAACATCTCAAAATTTATCGTCCAAGTCCAACTTAAATTTTACTGTCCTCACAGCACTCTGCAGCCACTTTAAATTCCACAAGGGCGGCTGAATTTCTATTAAGGTGACTATCAGGTCCCATTTTATTTGTGATGTGTGAAAAGAACTATTAACTTTAAAAAGATTCCTTAATCTTTTTAAAATGAATTCGGATGGCCCCTCCTACGGGTTGAGTTAAAATGAATTCGGACGGCTCATTTAACCAATCGTCGAGATGGCAAGCGCAGGTGGAATTTTACGTGATCCTTTTAGACGGTGGTTACAGGGTTTTATCATGAATATCGGTTTTTTGGTCTATCACAGGGGCGGAATTATGGGGGCTTTTCCAAGTGCTCCAACTAGCATGGAGCTCAGGTTATCGTCCGGTGATTGAGGAAGTGGATAGCCTATGTGCCTTCTCGATAATCCAAAGTGTTAATGTTGAGCATGAGATATATAGTGCCTTAATCTTGGCCATTAAAGATTTGTTGAAGAGATAATGGTCGGTGAGGTTATGCCATGGATTCCGAGAGTCCAATTTCGTGGCGGATTGTATGGCGAGAATGGCTACAAGGAGTCCGGGTAGTTTCCAACCCTCGACATGTACCGATTTTCGGTACTTAGGCGTTAGCCTCTATCTTTGTACCAAAAAAAAAAAAAAATAANCAACTGTAAAAAGATTGCATCAGAGTTGAACCCCACATATGTGTTTATGAACACTTAGCGGAACGATTGGATGTAAATCAAAATCAGCTTTGATTGAACTTTGAGTTAAATTAAGTTAATTTTAAATAAAATTTATTGAATGGAGGTGTGTGAGATTTTAAGTAATATTTAAATAAAATTGATTGAATGGAGGTGTGTGGGATTTTTAGTTTGTATTTAAATAATATTCAAAATGTAATGACTAAAGCTGATCTGATATAAAAGTATGAGATATTTTATTAGAAACAATAGGTAATTAAAAGTATGTGAGTGGATGAATAGTGAATTAAAGTTGACTAGTACAATACCCGTGTACTACACGGGTACTAGTTAACAAAATTATATTTAAAATTAAATAATAATAACAACAAATTTATTCTAATTTTTAAATACTTTTTAAAAAAAAATATTATTATCTTTATTTAAAATGGCATTGCCACTTACACGACTTACCATCTTATATTATAATTTTTTTAATTAAATGAGATAACTACTTTGTAGTTAAGTAAGTTTAAATAACTTCATTTTTTTTTTTTTTGAATTGATATTAATAGGTAATTTGATTTTAATTCTAAAGATAAATAAAATTATGTGTTTATTTTGTATGTATAATATAGATGTGAAATCGAAACTCATCAAGACATGATTAATTTGATGTATTATATATAATTTTTTTAATATTAAAAATAACTTTTAAATATATCTATATTTAAGTTAGTAAATTTGTTATAATTTAAAAATAAATATGAGGAAAAAAGAAAGATTTGAAAAGAAATTATACCTTATAAACCACATCTACAATAGGAATAATATTAAAACATAGTTAGTACTTTTAAAAAAGACCATAAATATCAAGTATATTTATAGAAATTCCAATCCTAGTTACTGTTGCAATGGAAAATTAAAATTCATCCAAGTCAAACAACAAAGTTTAAAAGATTTTCCACGTAGAATTCCAAAGCGTGAGAGTCTGCCACTTAGGCTCAACACATTCGGAAATTATATATAGATGGATGTAATGTGTAAAGATGATTGATTGATATTATTTAATTATATTCATAATATTGAGTAGTGTTTATTTGAATTAAAATTGAGTTAGATTTTGAGTTAAAGAGTGTAAACAAAAACATTCGATTGGTGAAATCCGATTTTAATCTGTAGCCAATCACGCCTTCAGTGCTTATTCATAAATTCAGATCACAAATGAAAATGTTAAACTTTGACACTTGTGATGGATGTTTTCATTTCTAATATGTGTGTTGTGTATCTTACTTTTTATTTGCTATTTGTTCTTTTTTTTTTTTTTTTTTTTTTTTGGAACGATAGACTTTCATAAACAAACACATATTTACAAACTCGAAAACAACTAGTAACAGTCGAATCAAGCAACTACACGACTGAATCTAGTGGAAGGACAACCTCTTTCAGGACAATTCCAAGGTAAGCCTAGACTACTGCAAACACACTCACAATAATAGAATACTACTGCAAACACTCACAATAATAAAATACTACCACTAGTGGAGAATACAACTACTAAAAGGAGAATAAACACTAAAACAAACATATGATTTAGCACCCCAAACCATATGTTGCGTGACCGCCGCCAAAGCGGGGTCCCAGTAGGCATGGTGGCCAGGTTCGTCTGCTCAAGGCGGAGACCTCTTCTGAATCTCGTTTCGTTACTTGGCTTCTCAGTATCTTTTCCCTGAGGTCGAGTTGGCTCTTTTTTTTTTCCAATCGTTGAAATACCTCGGGGGTGGTAGATCTGGGAAGAAGGCAACTCTCATACATATTATCTACTGTCCCTTCTTCCTGGCTCTGGTCAACGGACACGTCCTTTTAGGTTTTTAAAGTGATCATCAGAGGATTCTGTGGCTTGTTGTGAATGAACTGGCTCTTTCCCTCTGTCTAAGTCCTTTTTTGAAGGTGTTCTGGGTACATTTGATGGCGATGGTAGAATACGTGTTAAAAGTTTTGAAAATCCTTTCACAAAATCAGAATTTTGTAATAACGTGGTAAAATCGATACTGAGAACCCTATTGTTCAGTTGTTCAACCCCAGCACTTCAGGTTCATTGTCTTGGCTAGATAACGACATTTTTATCGATAAGAATATTTTTGTTTTCTTTTTTTTGAAAGGTAGAAGGTTACTCCAAAACTGGCTGGAGCCCTCCTTCTAGCGTCGAGCTGTTGATCTATGGATTTATAGCAACGAAAGTATCGAATGATTTTAGGATTTCAGGTTGTATATGGAAATATGCCAAGTTGTTTTATAGTTCGACATTTCTTGCTGAAATTTTACTATGCAAGTGAAAGATTTTTTTTTTTTTTTACAATTGCTCTTCGACCTATTTATATTTATATGCCAATACGTCGGGCACTGTGTTCATGTGTAGTACAACTGTCTCTAGTATAGATGGTTTTCTATTTTCGGAAAGTACAAGATCATGTAATATCTAATGATTACGACTCGAATTTCCACTGTGATCGACGACTTATGGCCTAGAGACGTATATTCGACAACTTGAAGGTTAACGATCTTGTCAACAATTAATTCTTGTACAACTGGCAGCAGGTCGGCCGAACTGTAGTTTGGCTTCCCTCAAACACCGAAGACTGTGCCCTCAAGTCCTTCCTTGTTCGGCTATGATCGGACAAATTTTGCTCCCTGCTATTTTGACTCAACCATTGACTACTAACCGCGTCGTGTGGGGATTTGATGGCGAGTTCGGATATCAACAATTATTATTAATATCTCTGTAGATGAGGAAATTTATCGTCATTTATTGACGACAATGGACTGTTCTTTCATGTTCACTCTCATGCCAAATGAAGTGAAAATTTTTAGTATTACAATCTAAGTGAGATTTGTTATCTCAATCTAATCTTTTGTTACTAGCTATGGTTGATTTCATGGGGTCAAATAAAAAACATTGTTTCTGGTTGGTTGATGCTCTGTACATTCGCAAGTCATTTGGACCAAACATAATGGTTTATGATTTGATGATATTTCAACTTAGTGTCGGGCGTTTAACTTTCCGCTGACTAATTGACAACTTTAAGACCAAACATCAAGTTTGAATGCAAGGAAAAAAAAATATTAGAGTTAAAAACATGTAACAATTTGGTAAAGATAAATTAAAGGAAAAGTAATCATACCAGAATAAATTAACAAACAAAAGCTAAACTGAACCGGATGTGCAACCGTATAATATATGGATATTGAGAGGTAAAGAATGAAACACATGATACTTCAAGGTCCTACGATTACACACATAAAGCCACCTGTTAATAGTTTATACTCCAAATTAAAAACATTCCACAAAACTTCTATACAACTGATAACATTGACTACCACAAAACATTCACAGCTTATTTCCTGCTCTTCATCATTTCTGCCTGTTTACTGAGTTGCACATAACATAGCTCATGTCAAAAGCCGGATAAGATAAAACATACTAAAATTGGTTAAATTGAAACTTGAGTATTAAAAGCGAAAAGTATGTGATGCCTTGCTACGAAAATAGATCTTTTTACCCATAAATCTAACTAGCACGTTCAGCATCAACGTAATTCTTTAGAACCAAAAATTAAACTAAAAAGATATAAACACATGAATCCTAAATGAGATAGTTTTGCCAGATGTAAGATATAAAAATCGAGTATTTATTCAACACCTAAAAATAGAAAAATGAAAAGACAAAACTCAAGAAAAAAGAAAAATCAGACTCTTCAAACCGTACAAACCTTAAATCGTGCATCTTCTTCTTAAGGTCTATGTAAATCATCCTGTCAATAATCATAGACCAAAATGAGTCATTACGGCACCAAGTTTGCTTTCTTACCAAATAGAACGATAAAATTAAATAAAAACGAGTCGGGGAAAGCGAAAGAAGGTATAATGCATATTGTGCACAAAACGGATTTCAATCACTAACAACTCATTTTTTAATTTTTTTTACAATGAATAATTGAATTTCCACTAATTTTAAACCAACATCTTTCCTCGGTTGTAACTTGCAATAAAGGATTTGGTGATGCAACCCAAAATCGATAGAATTTCCTTTAAAATTGAAATTAAGTAACATTTCAGGCAACACGACAACGCACATAACTCGACAGCCCAACACATGCTTATGAATTTGATAATAAACCTATTCACAATGCCCTAACACATTTTTATTTCTCTTTCATGTCTGACAATTAATTTAGCATCCCTTGGAAGCAGTATACAAGCTGCAACACAGGATTACTAGGAGTCCAAACATTATTCCTTACCCCATGCTTAAATCTAATATAAACCATAAGAGTGTCAAAAANAAAAAAAAAAAAAGGACAATATATAAATCATGTAGATTCAATAATCAACTCAAAGCACTTAGATAAAACATTGGCAACAGAAAACTAAAGAATAGGCCGAACCATTCATTATTTACTTCAGCACGCAGTCTCCTCCTTTCTATCTGCAAACTCCTGCAACAAGATATTGTGATGGATAAAACAAATAGCAATCAGAGGAACATCTCAAACATCAAAAGGGTCAATAACGAAAACTGATTAGTCAAAAATGAAAACTGATTAAGCATCTATCATTATATAAAAGAATAACCTTTTTACAAATTTAGAAACTTTTTCCCGCCAAAATCATTAAATATATCCTAATATAGTAATTGTTGGACAAATCTGAATAAAATCGGCTCATTTTTTTTAGTTTATCAAAACCTTTGTTTGACAATAAATATTTGTTTTTCTTTTTCCTATTTTTAGTATAAATCTACACGCTTATCTCTTCTGTTACGAAATACCATTGCATACGATCTCACGTGTTTAAAAAATCTCATCCCTTATCTATACAAATTTAAAAAAATAAAATAAAATAGAAACCAATTCATAATTACTACTAGAAATCTATTATTTTTAAAAAGAAAAAATAAAATAAAATAGAAACGAATTCATAATTACTACTGAAAATCCATTATCTACTTTAAGAAGCTAATTTTCATCCGTCTAATTACTAATATTTTTACAAATATTATAAGCTAACCAAACAAAAAAGTATAATAATAATTTTAAAATGGTGTGTAATCAAATTAATTTATATTCTCTTATACAAAATAATTTTACATTGTTTGACCCCGAATATTTAATTTATAATTATTAAGTATTGTTTATCCTCCTCTTTAATTTATAATTATTTTTTTTGCTTCCTCTTTTTAAATAGGAACAATAGTAGTTTCCACTTCCGTCATTGAGTGACTCAAACTCTAGGTCTATTTATAATATTATTAATTTAATATTGTTTCCGTGCATCGCACGGGGTATACACTAGTTATTTTTAAAATATTTAACACAAAAGATCAAGTTGATCTCATAATGATGGGATGAATTCTGCTAGAAGTATTATTGAGGCATATTAACTATTTTTCAGTAATTTCAAATGGGAGTACGCCCGGAGTCGAAATTGAAAGTAGATTATTGAGGCATATTAACTATTCTTCTAGAGATGCTGAAATAGTTGAAATTCGTGTATGTTCAACTGCAAAACTTATGCAACAAAGGGACAAGAAGAACTAAGGAATGAGAGAACTTACTTGCCACCATAATCAACCCTGTCATATCACAACCAGTTTAGAGTCAGGTCCAAGTCCCAGCTTGGGTAGAGAGAAAGATAGCCATACGTAGAAAATCATTAAGGCATAGCAGGCAGATACTTACCATTCAGCTAAACCATAAATGATGCCAAGTGCTATGAGATGCTCGGTCACACTTCTCAAAGACCACACTTCGTCCACGATGCCTTCTCCCCTAAGAAATGCAGAGTGCACCTCATTTCAGTTCATAGAAAAAATTTAGTACCAACAAAAAGCCCACATCAAAATTAAAGGAAAAAAAAAAACACACATATTGGTGCCTTCCTTGCAGATGCTGCGAGCCCACATCAAACGACGCGAAAGTATCAGAGAAATTGGTGCCCGAGAAATTGGTGCCTTCCTTGCAGATGCTGCGAGCCTGAATTGTGATATGATCAATGAACTTAAACCTAATCTACCAATAAACAAATAATGATGATAATAATAATAATAATAATATCTACCTGATTGACTGCCTCAACATCGATATCACTAATGGCGTAGAGAAACCTGAAAATATAGAAAAATGTTAAAGCCGTACGATACTGAAAACGGAAACGGCGAGTACCGCTGGCTTCCTCAACTCCCCAACCTACGCCTTGGCCACCGCGGACGGTGGCTTGGGGAGAGGGAGAGAAAGAGAGATTCTTCTTACCTATTTCCTGTATGTTGAGGAATGGTTCCTGGCTAATCGATTTCCTAGGTTTTTAATTTAATATTACTATACGGTATATAGTTTCGTTATTTATTTTTAATTAACTGTGAGGAACTTGACGGATTCTTTAAAATAATATTATTACTTTATTTTAAATTAATTATTTTAACCCATTATTACTGTCGAGCTTGAGCACGTCGAACTCGAACCCGAACCCATATTTTACATTGTCGAGTAGCTTGCGAGCAGCTTGAGATATATGTTAAGTTACTAAAGTACTCCTCTATATAAATGTATCATAATATTAAAATATGTACTTAAAGGTAATTTTACAAAATTGCTTGAAAAATTTTGAACCGCACACGAGCCGAGCTCGATCATTTTGAATTCAAGTCGAGATCGAGCTATTATATTTTTTAATCGAGTCAAGCTCGAGCCTCATAAATCGAGTTCGAGCTCGAGCTTGAGCAGCTTAAAAAAAAAATCAATCCTGCTTGATAAGATCAATGTTCGGCTAGGCTCGGCTCGGCTCATTTGCAGCCTAGTAAACATCTGGGCATCAGACTTGTCCTGTACAGTCATTACAATAAAATGTTTAATGATATTTATCCACTAAGTTTGTATTGTAGTTTGTGGCGTGAATGTTATGAATATTGAAGGAGAAGATGAAGAATTCCAAGAGGATGTTGGTCGATGTTTGTTTGAGGGATTTTCGAACAAAACAGGGCTTGAAGAAGAAGTTTTTTATTGGAAAATGAAGAGAAAAAGAAAGGTGAAAGAACAACTGACGCGTGTTGTGATGTGATCCACCGAAGATGCGATATGAGCCTTACACGTCACGTGGGTGCTATTTTTATTTAAGTTTAATCATGTACTTTTTAAACCGGGTTCGGGTTTGCCTGACTTTCGGGGAGCCTTCTCAACCCTTACTCAGCAACATAAGCCAGATATAGTGGCCCTTTTTGAACCACGTATCAGTGGGGTCACTGCTGATAATTTTGTGAGATACAACAATTTTGAGAACTCATTTCGTCTTGAAGCTCAGGGATTCTCGGGAGGAATCTAGATTTTGTGGACTGATGAGGTCCAACTTGAAGTGCTATTTTACTCACGTCAACTGGTCCATGTTCAGACCACCAAAAATGATGTGGGAAGTCTGGTGACTTTTATTTACGCTAGCCCGAATGTGGCGGGACGCAAGAGTATGTGGGCTGACCTTGAAAGATTGGCGACTGGAATCTTACAGCCTTGGCTGATTGGAGGAGACTTTAATTGCCTTCTTCGGAGGTCTGAGAAAACCGGAGGGGCTTCTAGACATTGTAATAGAAGCCAGGATTTTGTGGATTGGATCTTCAACCATAGCCTGCAGGAGGTAGCAACCGATGGACATCTCTTCACCTGGGTCCGCGAAACTCAACAGGGGAGGGTGGCCGAAAAACTAGACAGATTCATTGCTAATATACCTTGGGTGGAGAAATTCGATATGAGTCGGGCCCGACTCCTTCCGAGGGTCCAATCGGACCACTCGCCTCTTATGTTGGGACTCGGTCGGACTAGCCCTCCACCACGTAGCCTGAAGCCTTTTCGTTTCTTAGTCGCATGGCTCCTCCATCCCGACTTTAAAGGATTACTAGCAGAGACGTGGCACCCTTCCCTTTGTTTCGAGGAGGCAGCGGCAACTTTTATTGAGAAGGCCAAGGAGTGGAATGTCCAGGTCTTTGGCAATATATTTCGAAGGAAGAAAAAGCTACTGGCCCGAATAGGCGGTATTCAGCAGAGCCGACAATTTTGTTTCAACGGCCGATTTACCGGGCTAGAGAAACAACTCCGTGCAGAACTTGAGGAGGTTATTAGGCAAGAGGAACTGCTAATGATACAAAAGGCCACCAGGGACTGGTTCTACTTGGGGGACAGAAATACGTCTTACTACCATAGGCAACTTAAATACCGGAGACGCCGTAGTAAGATAACCGAGTTGACGGATGATGAGGGGCGCCAGGTCACTGATGAGCCAACTCTTCTCACTCTAGCTACAGAGTTCTTCTAGACCCTCTATACCGCAGGGCCGACCCCAGTGACGGACAGGAATGTGGCCAACCTCTTCCCAGCCCGACGACACTGCCGCGAATACCATGACCGCAGCTATAACCGAGAACGAAATTTCTTCAGCCCTGAACAATATGGGGCCTTTGAAATCCCCAGGAATGGACGGGTTGAACGCTCTTTTCTTTTAACAAAATTGGGATATCGTCGGGCCCATTTCTTAGGCAAATGTGGACCGATGGGGTCGTTCCGGATCAGATGAATCGAACCCTGCTCGTGCTCATTCCGAAAGTTGAACATCCAACCACTCTCAAGAACTTTCGGCCTATCAGTCTACTGAATGTAATATATAAACTATTCACTAAGGTTTTGGTGAACCGTATGAATCGTCGCGTGGTGGTTGTCGGCAGGGGCGCCGGGCTCGTCGCGGCAGTCTGCGGTCGTCGGGATCGGCGGGTCGTGGTTCGTCGGTTCCGGTAGATGATCACGATGTCTCAGTTACCTTCGGGATCTTCTACTGTATCACTCAAACACCTCTTCAACTTGTACCGTTAGAGCAACAAGAAGAAGATAAAGCTCGAATGAGATCTAGAGAGAGAGAGAATGGGTCGCGCGTGTATCACGTTTCTGTCTCAGTCCGTTCACTTCTCATGAGCTTAATGATGTATACATAGATTTACAGTAGGGATCCTTAAGAGAATAGGATTAGGGTTTCTTAAGTAGTGGACTAACATGTCCTTTTGCACCTACATGCAATAAGTCTGTCGAGGTCGTCACCACAACCCCATTCCTACCGAACTGCATGCACATCACGAGGTCTCTTCTGTGTCCAAGTTTGGAGGTCTCCAGGCCTCCAAGCTATCTGACTCTAGTACCCGAGCTCTCTTGGACTAACGACCTCCGTGCTACCTGAGCTTCTAACTCGAACCATGAGCTGCCCTCACAAGAGTTGTATGAAATGCCAACACTAAATAGAATTGAGCTTACCCAAATCACCCATGACCAAGCTTAGCCGTCTGGTCGGTGAACCAAGCTATTCTGATGCTATTTCAGTAGTGAAATCCAATTTGATGCGAATTTTGAGATGCCAAATCCAAACACAGCTATTAAAAATTTGAATCTGTATTATATTAACGTTAAATAATAAAAAGAGGCGCGTGCAGACTCAGCTGCATGCATTTGTTAAGCGATTTGAATCACTTTTTCCTTTAGCATGTGAAGCACAAAACAATAGTATATAAGCCAATCATATCATAGCAAATCCATTTTAAATAAGAGATCTACATAAAAATAATAGCTACTACTTACCAGTTCTTGATGTGAGACACATGAAACAAAATTGGACGAACAAAATGAGATTTGCCAAAAACAAAGTCAAGTAATTAGTGATATATTAATCAATACACAATATAGGAAAATAATTTAATAATTTGCATCAGTCCAAGGAAGAAAACGGCCTCATGAGATGATGATAGGTGATTACACCTCGAGCAGGACCACTTTAACCAAATTGGTCTTATAATTGAACATTTTTTATTGAATTTATTGTTTAAAGTAAATTAATTTTAAATAAAATTAATTGAAGGAGATTTCGAATTTGAACTTAAATAATATCCAAAATTAGATGATTAAAGTTGATGTGATATAAAGTAGGAGAAATGTTATTAAAAATGATAAGTAGTTAAAAATATTGAGTGGATGAATAGTGAATTAAAGTTTATGAGATGATGAGGATGGTTGACTGATAGTATTTAATTATATTGAAAATATCGAGGAGAGTTCGATTGAATAAATTTGCATTATATTTTGAGTCAAAGATAATAAAAAAAAATGTTCGATCTATCAAAACAATTTAAATCTTTAGTTAATCACCCCTAAGAGTTAGCTTGAGGAGGGAGGTTTTATTGTATTTCACTTATTAGTTTGTTTGTTGTGTGTGTTTATGTTTATTTTGCAGTTTTTTGTTCTCCATTATTGGAATTTGTAGTCTCCATTTGTTGGGGTAGGAGAACAAATGCAGTGGATAAAAATACTCATACAACAAATATAGCAAGCACTACCTCAAACGAAAATAAGCCAACACAAATATATAACATATGAGAAAGAAAAAAACACAAAAATTGATAGGAAGGAATGATATGAGAATAGAATGATCATTCTTTTACTCATTCTTTATCCCATGATTGGTATATTTTTTGGGAAGGAATGACCATTCCAATGAGAATGACAAAACCCATCTCTATGGATTAGCCATTCCATAGTAAATGAAAGGTTTTCTCATTCCCATGTGTGTAGGAATCAATTTTTCAAAAAATAAAATTAACAAATAATAATAAAAAATAAAATATAATATATATTATAAATCATGATTAAAATATATTAAATAAAATTATTTATAAAAAAATTCAAATAAAAAATTGAAAACTTACTTTTATTTATTTTTTAATTAGATATATTAAATACTTATATAAAAATAAAACTAAAAAAAGCATTTATATATAATTTAAAAATATATTATTTTATTTTTATATATTATTAAAAATATATTATTTTATTATTATTAAACAATGTATTATTTTATTTTTATATATTATGAAAATATATTATTAACAATATATTATTTTATTTTTATATATTGTTAAAAAAGCATTTATATATAATATACTAAAAGTATGTTATTTTTTAAAAAAAGCTTTTATTTATTTTTATAATAAAAAATGATAATGTCAGTTCATTCCAGTCATATTCCTTCTGCATACCAAACGCATCAATGACAAACATGTTTCATTCCATTCCCATAATCATTTTATTCTTCAATTCATTCAATTCCTACGAAATTTCATTCTATCATACCAATCATGCCATCAGAGTTAGCTTGAGGAGGGAGGTTTTACTGTATTTCACTTATTAGTTTCTTTGCTGTGTGTGTTTATGTTTATTTTGCAGTTTTTTGTTCTCCATTATTGGAATTTGTAGTCTCCACTTGTTGGGGTAGGATAACAAATGTAGCGGATAATAATACTCATATAACAAATATAGCAAGTACTACCTCAAACGAAAATAAGTCAACACAAATAAATAACAGATGAGAAAGAAAAAAACACAAAAATTGATAACGAAGTTCCGTAAATATTGCCTACGTCTCAGGGCACCACCAACCGCAATGTCAAATTTACTAAACTCACCAGCAAAATACAATTAGGATTAAATAACTCACAAATTAGGATTTCTTTCATTAAGGAATTCCTTCTAAGATAGGAGAGAATAAATTAAGGTGCAATTGTAACTCAAAGAGAAGGGACATATTTATACTATGTGGACTCAAAGGCAAGTGACATATTTATACTCAAACCCAAAAAGTGATATGCAGAGGTTTATGACTCCATAATAGATGTAATGTTCTTGTAATAACTTGGAGAACAAAAGTTTGATTAGATGCATTACGTATTTATGATAATTACACATACATATAATTTTTAAATGTCAAATTGATTTAAGCGTCGAGTGCTAACGTCAAGAACCTATCGGCTCCTTGGATGAAGACGTAATCGAACGCAGTTGAGCTGCCGCCGAGTGAACCTCTCGACTCCTTACTATAAGGCATCATCGAAATAAGTCGAGTTGCACGTCAGAGGGTCGACCCATCAATTGCAATAGTAAGAGCATTTCTAAAGTATAAATGTTGTTATTATATAAATTTTGACAAATGTCAATTAACTAGATGAATTGTGAATCACATAAGGTAATCGTCAAGTTCACAATTTTAAATAAAAAAAATTCTCCAATGCACAATATAATCAAACACAATATTGTTCACATAACTAAAAATAAATAAAATAATAATAAAAAAAATAAATAAATAATTAGATATTTTAAAAATAGTAACAATATTTCTCACTTCTCTCTCATTGCTTGTATAAAATATGAAAGAGAATATGGATGAAACACATTCTTTCGTATATTGTATAAGTAATTATGTCGGGCTCGTCACTACATTTTGTTATCACATTCTAGATTGAAAGATTGAAGGTGGGGACACATTAAAAATTGGCACGATACTTTTCACCATCCTAGTATATGAATATTTTTTAATAATAAATTAATAATTAGTAAAGAATCTTTTATAATAAAAAGACCAACGTTTCATCATCTCCTCTCAAATCATGAGACGCATTCATTCCACACCCACTGCACACATACACACACACACACACTATAATTCGCTACTTTTCCCCCTTTCAACCTCCAATTCCACAACCCAAATCAAACGGAAGGAAAAATAAAAAAGTAAAAAACTAAATAAAAAAGAATAAAAATAGAAATGGCCGGCGGTGAGAAAAAGCCCCACGCCGTCATGGTCCCCTACCCTTACCAGGGCCACATTAACCCCTTCCTCCACCTCGCCGTCAAATTAGCCTCCCAGGGCTTCACCGTCACCTTCGTCAACACCGAGTCCGTCGACCGCCGCATCTCCCGCGCGCAGACGGCGTCCACTGGATCCGACATTTTCGCCGGCGCCCGGGCCTCGGGCCTCGACATCCGCTACGCCACCGTCTCCGACGGCTTCCCGATCGATTTCGACCGGTCCCTCAACCACGACCGGTTCGTGGATGGCCTCATCCTCGGGTTCTCCGACCACGTGGACGAGCTCGTGGCCCGGCTTGCGTTCGCAGATCCGCCGGTCAGCTGCCTCGTCGCCGACACGTTCTACGTCTGGGCGTCCGCCGTCGCCGGGAAACACAACCTGGTGAGCGTCTCGTTCTGGACGGAGCCGGCGCTGGTCCTATCTCTGTATTACCACCTGGATCTCCTCCGCCAAAACGGGCATTTTGGGTCCGAAGGTAAATTCCCAATTTTGTAATTTCAGCAAGATAATTGGTTTCTTTCTGTAATTACGGAAACCCTCAATTTCAACAACAATGGTGATTTCTATTTTTTTTTTCCTCTCAATTTTTTATCATGAAAATTCGAAATCTGAAAACGAAAATGTTATTTTCCCAGTTAAACGAGATGACGTAATAGATTACATACCTGGTGTGGGCACTATCGAACCCGCTGACCTCACATCCTACCTCCGAGCCGAAAACACTCAAACCGTGGTCCACCGCGTAATCTACCAAGCTTTCGATGACATCAAGAAAGCTGACATCATCATTTGCAACACAGTCCAAGAGCTCGAGCCCAACACGCTCTGGGCCCTCCACAAGAAGCAGCCCGTTTACGCCATTGGGCCCATCGTCTCGGGATTCACAGCCCAAACCGTGGCTGCAAGCCTGTGGTCCGAGTCCGACTGCACCCACTGGCTCGACAAAAAGCCCGATAAGTCCGTGTTGTACGTCTCGTTCGGAAGCCATGCCCACACCACTAGCAAGGAAGACATTTGGGAGATAGCCCGCGGGCTTTTGGCAAGCGGAGTGAGTTTTTTATGGGTTATCCGGCCCGACATTGTGGGCCCGAGCGAAACCAATAACTTTCTTCCACCGGAATTTGAAAGTAGTGTTAAAGGGCGAGGTTTGATCGTGCAGTGGTGTAGTCAGATTAAGGTGATTTCGCATCGTGCGATTGGAGGGTTTTTGTCGCACTGCGGATGGAATTCGGTTCTCGAGAGCATATCGTGTAGGGTTCCTCTGATGTGTTTTCCTTTGTTCACCGACCAATTTACGAACCGTAAATTGGTCGTGAGCGATTGGAAGATCGGGATTAACCTTTGCGACGGGCCGTCGATCACTCGGGAGGAGGTCAAAGAAAAAGTCAACTATTTGATGAGTGGCAAGACTTCAAAGGATTTGAGGAGTGCAATTGAGGAGGTTAGTAGGAAAATGGAAGGTGCATTGAAAATTGATGGATCGTCCGAGAGTAACTTTAGGTTGTTAATTGGGGATATTAAGGCCCAAATGGATAAGAAAGATGGGCCGGCCTTTGAGATTCCAGATCAGTCTAGGGATCTTGTTTGGGCCGCTACAGCAGTGAATTTGTGCGAGCAAACAATTTAATCCTGTCCAGTTATGAAATTTGGAGTAGGTGGTTGTTGACTTGTTGCGTCTAGCTGAGTGTACAACATTGATTGCAGTTGTTCGAATTTCTATTTTTATTTTTAATTTTGTTTTCAATGGTTTTCTTTCTTGTGGAGGTTGAAGTAAATTCCAAGGAGAAAATTGTTCAACTGTTTCGAATAACCCCATTTATAATTTCCATACCTTCAAAATAATTGGGGAAAAAGGCTGCTGCAGACCCTCATTACATTTTATTCCAAGTTCATAATTTTTATCAAGCATTGTTGAACAGTTTTCTCCCTTTCAAGTAGTATGGAATTTTCTCTCTTTAAACAGTTACAAGAAACTCGGTTAGACAATGTTAGAGCTGTTAAATGAAATGAGTTGCTCGTGAACTCGACTCTATTTTGCTCGGCTCGTTAAGGCTTGGGGTCGACTTGTCTAAAAAATAATAGATACTACTTAGAGTTGTAAATTTGTAATCAGAGGATGTACCAGTTGTGAGAGATACCTCTTGATGCGATCCAACCAATTTGACCATATTTTTGCGTCAAGCTCCGCCTGAAGTTCAATATTAGAGTAGTGCTGAACTTTAGCATTATTATAGTTCTTTACATAATGTCGACACGTTCATCGTATTAATCAATATGACATGTGTGATAATGTACTTTATTCCCTTTTCATACTCACGTCCATTGACCAATTACACATAGTTGTCCCTCTCTTTCAACAACCATAACCCACCAAAAAAAAAAAAGAAAAAGGAAAATATTTTATAATTCGACCTAACCAATAGAAAAAACCAATTCGGCCAATGCATTGTGAGAACATTCCATCATTGTTCTAATAAAACATTCAACCTCAAGATTTCAAATCTTGTCCCTATCTATATTGACTATGCTCACGATCCTAATACAATTTACACGCATTTATAAAAGACATGAACTCACCAACAATTTTATTGAAAGCATCATATACTCGGCCTATCATAATAATTTTCATTAGCAAATCCAAAAAAAAAAAAAATGGAGAATGAAAAAAAGCTTGAAAGAAAACCACATGCCATCATGGTAGCAGTCCCTGCCCAAGGTCATTTAAACCCTTTTGTCCACTTAGCACTCAAGCTTGCTTCTAAGGGCTTTACCGTCACTTTTGTTCAAATTAAATACGTACATGAACTCGTATCAAAATCCCACAACCGTAATGAAGATGACATTTTTGCCGAAGCTCGTGATTCGGGTCTCGACATACGTTACACGACAATATGTGATGGCTTTCCCATTGAATTCGACAGGTTGCAAAATTACGTGGAGTATTGGGAGTATCTATTAAGCGGTTTCTCTTCTCTTGTTGATGAAATTGTTGGAAAAATAATCGAGTCGTGTGATCGGTTTTCGTCACCATTGTTGGTCACCGATACTGTTTTTTCGTGGCCGGGAATAATTGCAAAGAAGTACGGTATAGTGAATGTCTCCTTCTGGACCGAACCGGCCTTAGTTTTTGCTACCGGATATTATTGGGATCTTCTAAGAGAAAACGGACATTTTCCACCTAAAGGTACGTGTTCTTGAATTTCTCCGTGGACTTTTGTCTCTTGCTTTTCATGTGACTTTAAATTGCTTGAATTGTCTTCATTTTTTTTTTAAAAAAAAATCAACTAATATCATGGAACAAAATCATGCTTGGATATAAGATGTTTTTATTTTGTTTAGATTTTTTGGTTTGGTATGGTTAATTCGAAAAAAAATTATTATGATTAGTTGTTAGTGAAATTTTGAATTTATATTAAAATAATATTTAAAATAAAATAATTATTAAAGCTGATTTGATTTAAAAATATGAGAGTGATAATGTGAAGTGATAAATAGTTAAAATTATGTGAGTAGATAAATAGTGAATTAAAGTTGGTGTAATACGTAAGAATGATTGAGTGATATTATTTACCTATATTGATAATATTAAGTATAGTGAGGTTGAGTTATATTTAAAGTAAAATAAAGTAATTGGTTAAAAATGATTTAGTTTTTGTGAAAAATATTATATCTAAGCATGCTCTAAAAAAATTACATCATAAAATTCAAATCTGTTTATAGGATCTATTTATATTTGACCAACTTTGTAAGTTAACAAAAGTAGCTTGATTGATTTTCTCGGCACTTATTTCGAGCACATGGGGATATGATTAAATTTACCTAGGAGCGCCTATTTATTTCATAATTACACATATATATTTGGTAACATTATATGATATTTTACATCTTGCCATAAACTAGATTATGAAAACATTAGCTAATTGAATGATATTTTTTTCAGACAATCACGAACAAGTCATAACTTACATTCCCGGCATCGAGTCAATCAACACCAAGGACTTGCTATCGATTTATCACGACCCCGACATTAATACAATCGTCCACAAAATTGTTTTCAAGGCATTCGAAGAGGTTAAGAAGGCCGATTTCATCCTACACAACACGGTCCAAGAACTCGAACCCCACACCCTATCGACCCTAAATCAAAACCGACCGACATACGCAATAGGCCCGATCAATTTCTCAACCGAGCTACCAAACATTAATATCCCCAAGAGCATGCACCCCGAAACCGAATGCAA